CACGCCGCAATCCCTTCTCCTCCATTCTCCTCTCGGGATCTTGGGCACGCACGCACACGCGACCGCTGTGAGTTTAAGCCACCGGGTCCGGGACACGAACTGCAGTCTTCTACATGGGAGTCCAGCGACGTAGCCATTACGCTAACTGCTGGTCCCTTAGACGATAGTGTCTGAGAGCGCTGTCTCCTGCCATCTGGTTCAGACTGGAGCCCTGTCATTCACCCAACGTCGCACGTATGTATGGGTGGTCTACATCACTCTGCCTCCCCAGGCCACAGCATCCTTCAGTGACCTCAGGGGGACAGGAATTAATGCAGAAGGGCAGGACGGAGGCTTGGTGGAGAACGGACCGAAGCCAAGCAGCCGAGAAGGGGATCGGGGCTCCCAGAGGCGTCTTCCCCCAGCAGGAGGCTGGATGGTGAGGCTGGACCTGGCGCCCCAATCTCCCTTCTCCCCTGCTTCCAGTTGGGGTCTCAGATCCTCATGAGAGTTTGGAGTCAGAGAATATTCCAGGCATGGCAGAGCCCCAGTGGCCCCTGGTGTGGAGCAGGTGTCCTTCCAGCAGTCACGGGTGATGGCCAAGAAGACGGATGTTCCACGCCATGAGCTGGTAACGCCTCTCCAATGCCAGCCCCTCCTTGGTTTCATACAAAGGAAATGCCACACGGGCAAGAGGGTGCTCAGAACTTACAGAAGCAGCTCTTTTTTTTTTTTAGAAGTTTTTACCTTAGGGTGTGTGTGCTTGCAAGAGAGAGATAGAAATAGTGAGGAGGAAAGTGAGAAATCACCCCCCCCAGGGGGGATGGCCACACAGCAATCCCTTCTTCATTCTCCTCCCAGAATCTTGGGCATGCATGCACACATGCCCAGCGTGAATTTCAAGACGCTAGGTCTGGGACTCGAACCATGGTCACCCATTTGGGAGTCCAGCGATGTAGCTATGCCAGCTGCTGGCCCCAAGCAGCTCCTTTTTAAAATATATATATATATTTGTTTTTCAAGAGAGGTTTTGGCTACAGGGCACATGCTCTCACCGGAGAGACAGAGAGAGACAGAGAGACAGAAAGCGAGAAATCACCCCCCAGGGGAGATGGCCACACCGCAATCCCTTCTCCTCCATTCTCCTCTCGGGATCTTGGGCACGCACGCACACGTGCCAGCGTGAGTTTTTTGTTGTTATTGTTGTTTATTTTTTGTTTTGAAGAGTTCTTTTATTTTACTCTATTCGTTTATTTATTTTAATTTGACCAGAGAGGGACAGAGTGAGAGAGAGAGAGAGACAGAGAGAAGGAAAGTGAGAAAGCAAGCCAGGTCTGGGACTCGAACCGCAGCTGACCACGTGGGAGTCCAGCGCCCTTAATCACCATACCACCTCCCCGGCGTGAGTTTTTAAGTCACTAGGTCTGGGAGTCAAACCGTGTGGACTGTGACATAGCTATTTACACCATTTGCTGGTGCCCCAAGTGGCTCTTTTTTTTAAGAAAAATTTGCGATAGGGCATGTGTGCTTGTCTGCAAGACACACAGAGAGACAGAGAGAGAAAAACTAAAAAGAAAAGCAAAGCAAAGCCCAACTGTCCTTGTGTCCTTGAGCCACGAATGGTTGAGCACCTCCCCGGCAATCCCGTGAGGTGAGCAACATCATTACCCCCTTTTTACAGATGGGTAAACCCAGGCACGGAGACGAAAATCAGAGTTAACAAAAGGTACCATTACTTTTGGTTTTTTATCTTTAAAAGATAGGGACTCGGGACCAGCAGGTGGCTTGGTAATTCAGGGCGCTCGACTCCATGTGGCCGACCATAGTTAGAATCCCGGGCCTGGTGGCTTGCTTTCTCACTCCCCACCCTCCTGTCTGTCTCTAGTGAGAACACAGGCTTTGTAACACATTTTTAAAAAATAATAACAATAGGGAGCCAGCAGGTGGCGTGGTGGTTAAGGGCACTAGACTCCCACATGGCCAACCGCGGTTCAAGTCCTGGACCTGGTGGCTTGCTTTCTCACTTTCTCTTTCTCTCTCTCTCCTTCTCCCTCTCTGGTCAAATACAAATAAATAAATAAATAAAGTGTTTTTGTTTTTTTTTTTTAAAAGAAGTGTCAGAGCCTAGGCCAGCAGGTGGTGTGGTGGCTAAGGCACTGGACTCCCACATGGCCGACCAGTGTTCAAGTATCAGACCTGGAAACTTGCTTTCTCATTCTTCCTCTCTGTCTCTCTCTCTGGTCAGATGGGAGACTAATAATAAATCTTTTAAAAAATAATAATGATAAATAAAAGTATGTAATTTTTTTTTTAACAGAGGGACTCTTGGGACCAGCAGATGGCGTAATAGTTAAGTCTCTGGACTCCTGTGTGTGGGAGGGTGGAGGATGTGAGCTGGTTCTTACCTTGACACGTGTTCTCGCTCTCATTCCTGAACGTTTTTGCCCCAGAACTGAGCCCATAGCCTGGGTTGCACATGCAGTAGAAGCTGCCCTCCGTGTTCACGCAGTCTGCGAGTTTGCCACAGGGTGGCGCCATGGGTGGTGCACACTCATTGATGTCTAGAACACAACAGGGCAAAGGTTACCTCCCAAATGCATGAGCGCTCTCATCCCCTTCCCTGACTCCGTGGCACGGGACCCGATGCCTGCCGAGTATCTTTTGAAAAGACTCTTGGGCTACACAGCCGAGGCTGTGCTGCAGCTGGATCAAGCCATTCCTGAAGGCCACTCAGTCAGCTCTGCTCATCTCAATTCTCTGGCTGGCACCTTGGATTTGGATGGCAGGGCGTGAGAAGGAAGCTTCACGTTGCCCTTTCCGGTTCTCCAAAGGCAAACTGATGCCCAGACTCCAGACTCCTAGGGGCTGAGCTCGTCTCTAAGAAGCTATATGATTGGGACCAGCAGATGGTGTAATGCTTTCATTGCTGGACTCCCACATAGTCGACCACAGTTTGAACCCTGGACCCGGCAGCTTAAAACTCACGCTGCGAGTGTATATGCACATGCCCAAAATCCCGAGAGGAGAATGCAGAAGGGATTGATTGCAGCGTGGCCATCCCCCCGGGGGGATGATTTCCTACTTTCGATCTCTTAGTTTCTCTGGGAAAGGCACTCACCCTTACAGCAAAAATCTCTCTCAAAAAAAAAAAAGAAAAAAAAAGAAGAAGCAGCCACGTGATTAACTTTTACAAAATTTAACTAATTGATTAATTATTAAATTTATTAATTTTTCAATAGGTTTTTGCCTTAGGGTATGTGTGCTTGCTGGAGAGAGAGAGACAGATGTGGAGAGAGGGAAAGCAAGAAATCACCCCCGGGGGGGATGGTCACGCCGCAATCCCTTCTCCTCCATTCTCCTCTCGGGATCTTGGGCACACACGCACACGCGCCGGGCCTGAATTTAAGCCACCGGGTCCAGGATTCAAACTGCGGTTGACTACGTGGGAGTCCAGCGACGTAACCATTATACCGTCTGCTGGTCCTAACCACTCTTATTCCCTTATTCGCTGCTTATCTGTCTGTCTTATCTTGTCCAGTTCTCTCTGTCCCTGAAGACAGTCGGGGAGGCCAAGGGCCACGCCCTCCGCTGCCTCCCACGTCTCCCCCACCCCCACTCCCGCAGGCAGGGCCGGTGCTGCGCCCCCTCCTCCCGGCCCTGCATGGCCTCCAAGTCTCCTACCGTCACAGCTCTCCAAGATGTTGGTAAAAATCTCCCCCGAGGTCGAACTGAATCCAGGGTTGCAGCGGCAGGCAGTGGCGTTGATGCACGAGGACTTCCGAGGGCACCACAGGGCGCAACCTTTGGGGGCAGAGTGTGGGAGCAGAGGGGAGGGCTGAGTCGGGGGCTGGGAAGAGGCAGGGGTGGGGGCAGACAGCCTGAGCGCCCTCCCTCTGTCAGCGGTCTCTGCGGGAGGACCCGTCCCAGGGCCCCAGGGCAGGTTCCCAGCGGACTCACCTGGGGCAGACTGAGTTCCAGCTCCCGACAACGACAGCAAAACACACAGAGCTGCGACAGAGAAGGGAGGTCAGGGGGGCACCCCCGGAGGAGGCAAGGAGGCAGAAGAGCGCTGCATTTGAGGACAGAGGGTTGCTGGCCCCTCCCAGGCTTGGGCCCTGTCCACGGCTGTACTCCCTCCTCCGCGCCAGGCTCCAATGATGTGCAGGGTCAGAGCACCTGTCACCTGCCACCTTGACGGGGTTCAGGAACTGGAGGATGGAGCAGGGGTCTGCAGCCAGAGAAGGTCTCAGCTCCCGTGACCTGAGGCCCCAGTTCAAATCCCAGAGAGTGGGCAGGTAAACCCACCTCTCTCTGCCTCCGTTCCCCCTGCAGTAGACTGAGGATGGTGGCACCCACTTTTTTATTAAAAAAAGAATAATCTTATTGAACTTTATTTACTTTATTTATTTATTTTAATTTGACCAGAAAGGGACAGAGAGAGAGAAGTGAGAAAGCAAGCTGCCAAGTCCGGGACTTGAACCGTGGTCAGCTATGCAGGAGTCCAGTGCTCTTAACCACCATGCCACCTGCCGGCCCCAGCACCCACTTTTAAAAAAAAAATAATTATTTCTTGAGGACAACAGATGGCATAATGGTATGTTGCGGGACTCCCACATAGTCAACAGTGGTTCGAGTCCCAGAACTGACGGCTTAAAACTCAAGTCAGGCGTGTGTGTGTGTGCGCGTGTGCGCGCGTGCCCAAGATCCCGAGAGGAGAATGGAGGAGAAGCGATTGCGGCGTGGCCATCCTCCCTGTGGGGGTAATTTTTTGCTTTCTGTCTCTCCAGTGAGCACACACGCCCTAGAGCAAAAAATCTCTCTTAAAAATGTTGTATTTATTATTATTTTTATTATTAATTGTTTTAGAGATATTTTTGTTATAGGGTTCATGCACTCACAGGAGAGATAGAGAGACAGGAAGTGAGAAATCACCCTCGGGGGGATGGCCACGCTGTATTCCCTTCTCCATTCTCTTCTCAGCATCTTGGGCACGCACACACACACGACAGGCCCAATGTGAGTTTTAAGCCACTGAGTCTGGGTGTTGAACCCCGGTCCACAACGTGGAAGTCCATCAACATAACCATGTTGGCCCCTATTATTATTATTGATTTTGATTTGCTACACGGCATGTATGATCACCAGAGACAGAGTAACTTTTAAAAAAGCAATATTTAAATTCATTCATTCATTTATTTTAATTATTCGTTTATTTTAATTTTATTCATTTATTTTAATTGGACCACACACACAAGCGCACACACACACAGAAAGTGAGAAAGCAAGCCACCAGGTCCAAGACTTGAACCATGGTTGGCGACGTGGGAGTATCCAGCACTTTAACCACCATGCCACCTGCTGGTCCCCATAAATAACTTTTTTTATTTTTTGGAGAGGTTTTTGCTATAGGGCATGTGCACTCACCAGAAAGACAGAGAGAGACAGAGAGAGACAGAAGGCGAGAAATCACCCCCCAGGGGGGATGGCCATGCCACAATCCCTTCTCCTCCATTCTCCTCTCGGGATCTTGGGCATGCACGCACACGTGCCCGGCGTGAGTTTAAGCCACCAGGTCCGGGACTTGAACCACGGTCGACTACATGGGAGTCCAGCAACATAGCCATTACGCCAACTGCTGATCCCAAGAATTCTTTAAATATGAAGGACTTGGGGCCAGCAGGTGGCATGGTGGTTGGGGCACTGGACTCTCACATGGCTAACTGCGGTTCAAATTCTGGACCTGGTGGCTTGTTTTCTCGCTTTCCCTTTCTCTCTCTTTCTGGTCAAATAGAAAAATAATAATAATAAATAAAATAATTGTTTTAAAAAGGGAAAGATAAAAAAAAAAAAAAAACGAATGGGTTGGACCAGGCATTCTCCCAGAATCAAACCCTCCAGATCCAAGATGCTCCGGCCGCCCCCTTTCTGCAGGGACACAGGTGCACACAGCCCACACCCACAACCGCCCTGATGGGCCGATAAGGGACCCAGCGGTGATATTTCACCCCAGGCTCGCCACACACAGGAAGACGCTGTGGGTCGTGTTGGTTTCGCGCCGAAGAGGCCCCTCCTCCTGGGTCTCTGCTGGTTGAGGACGCCATATTGTCCAGCCCTATCTGGGATCCCTCCTCATGTCACCAGGGGCTTTAGCAGCAGGGACCTTCTCAACGTTCGTCAGAGACAGACGAGAAGAGAGGTGGAGAGAAAATGGAGACAAGAGACAAGGGGGCCAGCCCCGTAGCCTAGCGGCTAAGGCACATGCCCAAGACCTCAAAAAGAGAATGGAGGAGAAGGGATTGTGGTATGGCCATCCTCCGGGGGAGGGGGGTGGTTTCTCGCTTTCTGTCTCTCTGTCTCTCTGTCTCTCTCTGTCCCTCCAGCAAGCACACACACCCTATCACAAAAATCTCTCTAAAGGGACCAGCAGATGGCATGGAGGTTGAGTCCCTGGACACTCCCACATGGCCAACCACGGTTCGACTCCCAGACCTGGTGGCTTGCTTTCTCACTCTCTCTGTCTGTCTCTGTGTGTCTCCCTCGGGTCAAATTAAAATGAATTAATAAATAAAAATTTTAGAAAACTCTCTAAAAAAAGGAAAGGAAAAACACTTAAAAACAGATGAGAGGAAGGGGGGGAAAGAGAGAGAGAGAGAGAGACAATGTGGGGGAGAGACACACAAAAGTTGAGGTAAAAGTTAAGGCTGATAAAAATGAAGAGAGAAAAAATGAACATATTTATAGAAACAGATGCAGAGATAGGCGGGTGGGAGATAAACAGAGTGACAGTGAGAGAGAAACACAATTAGGAAGGGGTGGATGGGGAGTAGGGGGAGGGAGGGAGAGAGGACAGGAAGGGGCACCTCGGGAAGGCCCGGTTCCCCTTCTGGGAACACACGACACAGTTTAGACCCCAGCAATCCAGAGAGACCCTCAGGCGGACTCGGACTCGGAGGGTGGGCGGCCTGAGTCACTTCTTGGGCCAAGGACTGGATGACTCACCACTCGGTCACCCGGGATTGGAGCCTGGAGGAGGGGTCACACTGTGACCATGGTCTAAGGGACCGTGTGGGAGGGGCTGGCTGCAGGGTCTCAGCAAAAGCTCGATCCCTAATCCAGACTTGGTATCGTGAGACCAGAGGAGGACAGAGACCTCCCCTCCTCTCCACCTCCCTCTCAGCTGGGTAAACTGAGGCCGAACCGTCCCAGCCCAGCCCGATCCCCTGTCCCTCCCTCTTCCTCCTCTCTGGCCACGGGGCTGGGCTAGTTCCCCCTCGGCCAGGGCTAAGTTCCTCTTTGCAAGACAGATCACACAGGGAGCTGCTTCTCCCAAGGTGGGACCCGAACCCATCTGGCCCCAGCTCCTAAGCCTCGGTTGTCTTTTTTCCTTTTTTTAACCTGTCGTGATTTCATTTAATATTATTATTCAATTTAACCAGAGAGAGAGAGAGAGAGTGAGAAAGCAAGCCGCGAGGACCAGGACTCCCACCATGGTCAGCCACGTGGGAGTCCAGAGCCTGAACCACCATGCCACCTGCCAGCCCCAGCTCCGGTAATCGCTCACACACACACCCTGCAAGGCAGAAGCTGTGTTTATAAGGGGGTCTTCTCACAGCCTGGGCCAGCTGGTGACGTGGAGAGTAAGGCGACTGGATCCCACATGGCTGACTGTGCGGTTTGAATCCCAGTCCCGGCGATTTGAGAAACTTGTCGGGGGGTGGGGGATATGCGTGCTCGCAGGGGTGAGCATGGAGGAGAAGCGATTGGGCATGGCCATCCCCTCTGGGGGTGCTTTCTCACTTTTTTTCTCTCTCTCCCTGGGGAGCACGTACACCCTATAGCTAACTAACTCACCAAATAAATACAATTTCATAAGAAATTGTGTATCATGAATAAACCCTTGCATGGATTTCAAATTTTTTAATAACTATTTTATTTAACTTTATTTATTTATTTTAATTTGACCAGAGAGGGACAGAGGGAGAAAAAGACAGAGAGAGAGAGAGAGAAGCAAACTGTCAGGTCTGGGACTTGAACTGTGGTCTGCTATGTGGAAGTCCAGGACTCTTTGCCACACCACCTGCCGGCCCGGTGAATTTCAAAAATTTTTTTTAATTGCTAGAGGGTCTATGGCTTACCAGGGAGACACCCACCCCCACGCACAAACACACACACAAACACACAGAAAATAGGCAGTCACTCCCCCCCAGAGGGGATGGCCACACCACAATCCCTTCTTCAGTCTCTTGGGGTTTAGGGGTACACATCCACACTCACCCGGCATGCTTTTATTTTCTTTTAGAGAGTTTTTGCTGTAGGGCGTGTGTGCTCACCAGAGAGAGAGAGAAACAGAAAGCAAGAAATCACCCCCCAGGGGAGATGGCCACGCTGCAATCCCTTCTCCTCCATTCTCCTCTCGGGATCTTGGGCACGCACGCACATGTGCCCGGCGTGATTTTAAGCCACCGGGTCCGGGACTCAAACCACAGTCGACTATGTGGGAGTCCAGCAATGTAAGCATTACGCCAGCCGCTGGTCCAGGATCTAGCTATCTTAACCTCCATGCCACAACCAGCCCCGGATTTCCAATATTTTTGCACTTCTAATTCCAGGTTGACATGAACTCTCAGAGGTCCTCCTTTCATGCCCACCCTGCAGCTAGGTCAACAGAGGCCGGGAGCCCAGAAAGTGCTCAGAGAAGAATTTGGTGGGCAGAAGGGGTTGGGGAAGGTGGGACTGAGAGGTTCGGGTCCCCCAGGCAGGTCTTCAGGCTCCATTCCTTGCACCTGGCCTGGGCTGGGCTCTCTGTCCCCATTTTCTGCAGCTGCAGGGGCCAGACCGCCTCCATCTGGGGCTTTGGAAGTTGCCCAAACAGGAGCTGGGAGAGGAGCCTCTGTTCCTTGGCTCCCAGACCCATCTGGTTTGCATTTTCTGATCAGCCCAGAGCAGTAAGATTCCCGCTGGGGGACCCTGGGGTGGGGGTGGGGCACTGACCCTGTTAAGGGCTCCCAGACCCTTTCCCTGGCGAGACATTACTCCTTGCTGAGACATTAGTCCTTACCATCAGAAAGATGCTGTTGACTTCATTCTCTTTTAAAAATAAGTATTCATTTATTTACTATTATTTTTTTAATTTGACCAGAAAGAGACAGAGAAGGAACCAGCAGTTAGCGTCATGGCTATGTTGCTGAACTCCCATGTAGTTGACCGTGGTTCAAGTCCCGGACCCAGTGGCTTAAACTCACGCTGGGCGCGTGTGCGTGTGTGCCCAAAATCCCGAGAAGAGAATGGAGGAGAAGGGATTGCGGCGTGGCCATCCCCCCTGGGGGGTGATTTCTCGCTTTCTGTCTTTCTGTCTCTGTCTGTCTGTCTGGCGAGTGCATGCGCCCTGTAGCAAAAACCTCTCTCTCAAAAAAAAAAAAAAAAAAGTTTGTTTTTCTTTAAAAAAAAAAAAATAAGAAGAAAGAAAGAAAGAAAGAGAAAGAGAGAAAGGGAAAGTGAGAAAGCAAGCCACCCGGTCCAGGACTCGAACCACAGTCGGCCATGTGGGAGTCCAGCCCCTTCACCACCACGCTACCCACCGGCCCCACTGTTTACTTCATTCTTATTGTGAACCAGGGCTGACTCACTTAACCCTTCGAGCAAGCCTGTAAGCTGGAGACCAGTCGGGTTCCATTTTACAGAGGGGGAAACTGAGGCACAGGGGGTTTCATGAGGTGGCCCCAGGCAGGGCTGGAACGACCGGGAATTCAGGCCCCTCTGTCAGGTGCACGTCAGACTTCCGCCCCTTGCTCGGCCCCCGAGCCCGGGGCATGCTGGACTGCCACCTGCCACCTCGGGTGGGCCCGGGGAACCGGTGTCATCGTGTTCTGGGAAACCCCGGGCAGCACCGATTTCCACCCCCGAGTGTCATTTCTTCACTCCATTTGTTGCCCCGTTGCTTAGGCAACCGGGCTCCCCGATAACCATAAACCGTTAGAGCCACCCTGGGTGGGGCGGGAAGTCACCACTGCAGTTCAAACCCTCAGCCTGGCCAAATCTTTTCCACAGCTGCGTCCCGGCTGGGTCTAGGGGAGCCAGAGGGGAGGGTTCTGCCACTGAGACAGCAGGGGGACACATTTGGGGTACCCTGCCGTGAAGGGGTCCTGGCCACCTGCCCTGCAGTACCCCTTGCTGTTTACTGCATGCTCAGAGCAGTTGCTTGTCAAATCCCAGCACTCGTAGCTCCTCCCTATTTTCCTCCCATGCCTCAGTTTCCCCTTTAACGGGGCAGCCCCCAAATTGGCTCCAGGAGAGAGCCTGAAGACCCCCCTGGGCAGAGGAGCCGGGCATTCCTGACGCAGCGCGTGGGTGCCGGG